TCTGATCCTAGAATCGCCCCTGGCTTTAATCAGAAATCCTCTTTGGTCATTGTTCACTGATTTGTGAATATTTTCTGTTGTGATTTATACAAACGCTCTTGTCAATAATCTGCACAACAAACCACTGATTGAAAGACACTTTTCTTTTGACAACTTAAATATTCATAAAATAAAAAAATACAATTTAAAGTATTTAAAACTTAAAATTCTTCAGACGGTGAATTGTTCGTAAGAGCCGCTGATCTGCTGAGATGTTGGTGAGTTCAGCGGTTTAGTCACCTCTGGATGAGGTCCAGGTAGTCGATCTAACCCACGGAGTCGACACGATATGTGTGTCCAGCAGAGTGGGCACGAAGCACATCTGGACCAGTAAGATTTGAGCAGCCACCTCACAAGGATGACAGACAAACACACTCCAGCTGTAATGCAGACAACAGCAGGAGTTCCCAGACCTTTCTCTTCACAAGATTCCTACGAGGAGATAACAGGACAGAAATTCAGTCAGCTTTAGAAGCCGGTAGATACTTTTGCATAGACCGGGTCCGTGTGAATACTCGCAGACACAGATGGAGGACCAGGAGGAGTGCTGGTGGTCTGATCTGGGCTTCTCTCACTGACCTTCAGCCTCGCAGCAGCTGGTGTCCCCCTCTGTTCCCCTCTAACTTCTTTTTGGATGTAACAGAAATAATCCCCCTGGTCTTCCCTCCGAGCCTGCTGTTCTCAGTCAAAGCCACTCCCTCACTGGGCAGCCTGCCAGAGTCATTATCAAAGGTTTACCAAGACTAAGTGATGACATTTGGCGCTTTCTTTTTCTCCCATTCCAATAAGTTTTTCGTTTTTACTGATTAAAAACAATAGAAAAACAGCAGCAGTGAGGGATGGGCGCTAATTGTGCTGTTACTGTAGCTGTTGCTGTGTTTGATCCTCTTCAGTCTAAACTATTCACATTCAAATATTCGTAATTGATGTTATTAATCCAGATAAGATGAGAGGTTACCTGTCAAATACCTGACGTAGGAATGTTTATTGAAGTAAGTTGGGCGTGTGCGAGTCAAATCCGGGAGAGCTTGATGGTTAACAAAGCGTGCAGACAAACAACCACAAGTCGCCAACAGTCACCGAGTAACGGAGAGAGAGAAACGTGGAGGACTGACGACACTTGCTTGATTAAAAGGGAAAAAGCAAAGGGACGCACCAGCCTGAGAGATGCATGCTGCATTCTGCTGTGGGTTAGACCGTGATAACCTCTCTCTCGTCAGTGTTCTCCTCTTAGATTGGGGGATTTTTGTCTGTGCTTGAAATAAACTCAGAGCACAAATTTCACCGGGGGTTCGGGGGATTTCTTCTCCCTCAAGTTTAGTTCAATGTCCGGTTGCAGTCTGCTGAGCTATCAGTATTTTTGTCACAAACTGTCTCTTCTGGGAGTGAGAACGTGTTGGCAGGGGACATGGGAGAAAAAAAAATTAAGACGGACTTTTGCGAGATCTCGCAAAACAAACTCGGGATCTCGCAAAAGTTTATCGGGGCTCCGTACCTCTGTGTTTGGTACATGGTTCATTTAAATTATCGTTTACATATCCTGTCCTTGTAAACTCACTTTTCACCAAAGAGACGAGAAACATTTGAATAAACAAACAGAAAATGATGTTGACGGAGTGCCTTTTAGTGCAGATTCTAAATTACTCACCCACCACAGTAAAAAGATCACACAACTTGTGGAAACTTGACGCTGTCACAACACCAAATATGGCCTCGGTCTCTTGGCTCACGTAGGTTAACATAATAGAAAGCTTTGTGGGTGTCACTTTTCAAAAACACAAACCTCTTCTGATGACATTGAGCATGATCACTGTTTTCAGTCAGACTCTCTTACCGGACATCCTGCCAGTCTTTATCAAAGCGTGACATCAAGCCCAAGCGATAATTTTTTTTGGCTCCTTCTGTTCGTAATGATCTCTCCGTCCTTTTGTGTGTTCGGCTTTGTACTACACACAAACAGTGGCGTGAGGGATAGCCGATTCAATGTCAATTTTACTTTTAAATCCCTTTAATTGTGTTTCAGTTGTTGATTTAATTTCTCTTTAGAATGAATGATTCATATTCAAATGTTTAACCTATGCTTTAAGTCACATTATTTTACTAAGTATATGCTGACAGACCGTCTAATCTTTACTGAAGCTCCAGAACAGCCTCGGGGTGTTATCGTAACACTTAGCCTACAACACTCCTCTGTGTTTGTTAAGATTCACCGCAAAATCCGCCTCAGCGGTGAAACAGATCACTCACGCAGCGTGTGTTGTTTTTGTCTTTCTGCTCAGCAGTCATTTGTAATTCTAGATGACGTGATTAGAAGTTCATTTCTTCGACCTGTTGAAGTTCAGCAGCGTCTGGTTTTACAGCAAATCA